ATCTGGGTTGGATTAATGATGTTGCATGCTCTACTATTGGTAGAGCATGTAACGTCCACCAATAGTAGAGCATGTCATTAATCCAAGTCGGTTCAAACCCGCTACGGTCGAAAAAGCTATTAATTTCACCGGCAATAAACCTAGATTGGATTAGGAGCATTTCTTTGAAACTCGCTCTAAAACTTCGTTGAGAAAGGCTTACGAGCATCACGAAAGACATTCCCTCTGTTTAACACAGCAACTCTTCCCTTGCGAAGGAATGACGTTATGTTCAACAGATGTCGGGGTAACGCGACTCGAAGGGGTAAGCAAGAGCGACAATGTAGAAGGAAGACAAATGTGTCACGAGGGTCGATAACCAGGCTAGAGATCACCGGCGCGAAATTCTGCGCGGAATTACAACTACGGAAAATGTATCTCTGCGACGCGATGAACAGTTATATATAAGTTCTCCAAATAGTTCAGGATATTTTTTTCTTAGCGCAAAGAATATTTCAGTGGAATATCCTACTTGGTTTGAGTGATGATTGATTTATGAGAAAATCCTAAATATTTCAAACCGCGTTCTGAACGATACACTCTACATGGAAAAAAAATTAATTTTAATAAACATTTGATTGAATAGTTTTAAGTATTTACTAAATGTAATATATATTTATTTGATAAAAACTATTAATTTGTTCGATTTAACTATTATTTTTTATTGATCTAATTAAATAAGAGAATTTCTTTTATCGGTCATCTGAGTCTGTATTAAGATTTAGTAATTTTTTTTCAATGTAATAAAGTTTCAATTCGAGGATTAATTACAATATATTTAATTTATTTAAATTGATAGAAAATTACTGTAAAAAATGACAATCATAATTTTCTGTTGATAACAGATCGCCCAAGCGATCGAAAGGAAGTGCGGGATATTCATGATATCTTCATTTATGTGAATCGGTACTTCTAACCTGCTTGCTCAATATTCGCGAGAAGAGAAAATTCGTTTCAAGTTTCGTAGACAGACTTGGTTTTCTACCTCGGTATCTTCAATGTAAGACACGTAAGTTTCAAATCATCGTCCGCTAGAATCTCGCGGCTGGAAGTGTTCCGTATGTGTTACAGCTCGCCGCGATAATGAAAATGTGAGAAGCCCGTTAACCCGCCGCTCCTAAGCTAACGACCACACAGCAGCCGACAATGAAGATACAAAAGCGAAGCGGCGAACGAATTCTCAATTGGCCATTATTCCTATCATTAGCGATGATTTTCGCTCACAATATCATCCTAATGAATCGCGATAATTAAGCGAGCCGGGAGCGAGGGACGTTATCTCGCTGGGAAGAATTTCAACTTTCGCGCGAGAAAGCATCGTCGACGACAACGGCGAACAAATTAAACAATCGATTTTCGCGACGATTGGCGAGGGAGAGAAAGAGGATTTTACGATATTTTACGATATCTATCTTCAAATCGGCGAGACAATGATTGACGGTGAGGAATAAAAAAAAACTGACAGTCTCCTCCGATGACTTCGACGTGCCGATTATTGCATCGCGTTTCTCAGACACCGAAACAAGCGTAACAATTCCGACGAAATACACGGAACTTTCGTCTAAGAGCGTTTTCTTACCTCGTCTCGGAAGCGGGATGCCCTGCTTTCTATATCAATAAAATCGCGCAGCGGAAAGAAACGACCGATCGCTTTAGCGTCTCGGAGGGAACGGACGTACCGCTAGACGTTACTCCGGAATTACTGTATTAATTAAATTCCCGCTTGCAATTAATCCCCGAATTAAAAATGACCATCTATCTCAGCATGCTATCTACCTATTTTTACGAAAATCGCGGACATGTAGAAGCGTAGTCTGGATAGAGAGATCAATTAAATCTAATGCCAAGATAGCTCCTCGGGGAGTAAAAACACGCCTCGCGATTAAAAGCATCTCGAGACTCACTCCTCGAAGCGTGGTTGAAACTTGATATTGCAAGAAGCATAACAAGCGAATATCTGTGCAAGCGTTGAAGATATAATATTACGTTTTTCGTCTTCCCAATCGTCGATCCAGAAACACAGACGTATGCAAAAGAGTTATTATTTTCATTTGTATAAATTAATTTAATCAATTTATACACTGAGAAAAAAATTATTTATTTGGCTAAATTAATTTAATCAAATAAACAATTTGTCTTTTTTAAGTGTATTTTCGTCAAATGTTCATTTTAATCTCAACATATATTTTGCTAATAAAAAACTGGTATATTCTCTTATCATATCAACCAAACACAGAAAAATATCGTTCTCTTGCTAAGAAAGGTGACTCAATTTACTTTTTTTTCTTTTAAGACTTCTTTTAAAACGGTTATCTTTAACATAGATATTTTTTTGATAATAAATCTTAATCATTTCTTATTTGCGTTTTAATTTATTTTATTGTTTAAATAAATTAATCTTGAAATATACCTACTTATTACAAATTTTAGAAAGAGTCATTAATATGTACTCAAAACAAGAATTTATTTCCTTTTAAAGAATATTATAAAATATTATAAAATTGACTGAAGAAGCGGCTTTATATAATAAGTAAAATAAATTTATTTTAATTTAATGATCTTGATTGAAGTGTTGAATTTACTAGGATTCAGAATATTTTGAACAAATTTGCAACGAATTTATTTTGTAGATGTACGAATTTTTTAAATATTTGAAAGTATAATTTGTGCATTTGTGCAAATACAACATATTTTTCTGTGTACAGAACTTTGATCATAATCGGACCTCTAATTATTTCGACCAGAATTCTGACAGATTGATAATTCAACAAAATTATATTCAGATCTGTATCTACAGCTAAATTTTTAGATACTTCAGCAAAACCGTTTTTTCCGTGCAAAGAGCTCTGATTTGTTCATTTCCCACCAAAATTCCAATTAATGCAACTAGATTCTTTTCCCAGTATATCGTTACGATTTTTTAAAAAATTTTAATTATAATTCTCAAAACAAATTTACGGAACTAAATTCTCAATTTTTCACTGGGTTTACTGGGTGCCTAGGTCGAAGGCACAGTTCCGAAAGTTGACAGCAGCCGCCATTTTGAAGCGGTCCGCGCGAAGGCCGTCTTTATGCGTGCATTTTTATCGTACGTCGCAGCAAGATAATTACGCTTACGATGTCGCGATGCGCACTCGAGCACGTACGCCGAGATTATACCTCGACTGGAAGAACGTACGGACAATCCCAGAGAGAACGAAATCGTTCGAAGGGAGAGTTGTTAAATATAGCATAAAAATTGCTACAATTTCTCGCGACAGAGCGATTCTTTTTATAATCCCATCGTTGGCGAAATTTATTTGTGTCTCAGTGCGTTGCGTCTTTCAAGTCGATTCTCGCGGAGTTTAATTCGAAGACAATCGCGAGATAATTCACGGACGTAAACAGGCTTCTACTCGGGTCCACGTCTGAAAGATCGGAGCGCGCGTTGCGTTTCCTTCATCCACACCCTGGTTCCCGCTGAGCTAGAGACCCTCTAACACAGTCTGGCCACGAATAATTTTGTCAAAACAAGAGTGAAAAAAAGGGGATATACGTAAAACTTTTAGAGTAAATTTAGGATAAACTTTTATAGTAAACATTAAAATTTTTAGAGTTAATTGTCACTCTAAAAAGTGAAATCTCACTCTTAACGATTGAAAACTGAGCCACTCTTTTTCAAGAACGACTCAATTTTTATTCTTTGGAGTGAGATTTCGCTTCAAAGAATTTAGAGAGTACTGTTTCTTTTTAAATATGCTGTCTCATTCTAACTTGATGAAGTTGACAAAAACGACGGGCCAATCAAAAGTTGTTCGTCATCTCATGGCCAAATTCTGTTTTAAGTTTTTACACCGAGCGAAATGCTATGCCGCGCGCGCGTTCGTTGCATCTCGAGGCATCCAGTAAATCATCCTCCCGGTCGCGTCGTAGCGTTCCGTGCGGCCGACATTACCAGCCGTGCGGATTAAATCGCGACGCCATGTCGCCGATTGCGATGGTCGAGGACGGGGGATTTAAATCGCCACTCGGCGACGATCCTGCTCGCTCTAATCGTCGGACTGGAAGACGCGATCGACGTGGAAACGCGCTTATCTACGACTGATCGACCTCGCAAAAAGTACATTTCAATTGCCGAATTGCGAATCCGCGGATTATTGACTTCTGCTTCGTATTGTATGGCGAGATTGGCTGCGTTTAGCAGAAAAAGCTTTGCAACTGTTGTAAAATTCTTTAACACGATTTGTTTACTCTCTAAATTCTTTGGAGTTGAATCTCACCCTAAGGAATGAAAATTGAGCCAATCTTCAATCAAAAGGAATGGCTCAATTTCCAATCTTTAAGAGTGAGATTTTACTTTAAAAAGGTTTATTGGCTTTTATAATAAGTTATTATCTAAACTTTAAGTCTTAAAAGAACGACCAATCACAGTTGAACGTGAGAAGAATAATCGACTATGATTTATCAATTCTTACGGCTTAAAACTAAGATAATGGCTCATTATAGAAGGTTCATTAGAGATACATTTATATACATGAGGAACTGAGGGCAAAACCAATCATATCAACGAGTTTCACAATAGCAAAGCTGCATTTTGCTGAACGCAGTCATTGAGATTTCTTCTTTCTTCGAAGACAAGGTAATGTTGTTTATTTATTACGATATTTATTCTACATCTGGAAAGCGCCTGGATTCTGAGGGATCGACTGCGCGCGCGGTTCCGGGAGAGAGAGAGAGAGAGAGAGAGAGAGAGAGAGAGAGAGAGAGAGAGAAGCGACAGTCAGAGACTAGAATAAAGGCAATCGATCCTCCCTCACCGGGCACGTAGACCGGTGAACGAACGAACGGATAGATAGACACGCACGCACGTACGCGAGAAAGAAAAATGCGAGGGGACCAATTTGGCCTACGTATAATCGAGGAAAGAAAGGAGGGAGGGAGGGAGGAAGGAGAGGAACAGAAAAATGCTTGGCGGCACTCACCTCGTACTTGATGCCATTCAACCGCAACCACGTCTCCACCTTGAGACCGTACGGGGATAAGGACGGGAGCAGCGGCGTCCGCGGGAACTGATATAGATAAACAACGTCCTTCTCGTAGTCGGGGTGGTGCACGGTGCTGGCCTTCGCCGGCGCCGTGGCTGCGCCGCCAGCCGCGGCGGTGGCGTCGTCGTCCTTCTTGCCGGCCACCTCATCCTTCTTCGCCGCCGCGTCTTTCTCCTCTTGCTTGTTGTCCGGCGGCGCGTCGTCCTTAAGCGCCTCCTTCATCTCTTTCACGTCCTTGATCTCCTTGCTCTCGGGCCCGTTGTTCTCCGTTTCGGTTGCCATCGTCATTATCGCTCGACGCTACGCGTTTCTCTAAAATTCTCCTTCGCGTCGTCGTCCCCTTTACCGTCCGGCCGGAGGGGAGGAGGAAGGGGAGTGGAGGACTATAGTCGCGTGCTTCTACTTCAAAACTCGTGTCTCCCTCGTCTGAAATCGCCGCCTCCGCTCGATCGCGCGTGCACTCTCCGATCTCGAGCCTATCTCGACGGTAGCGCGCACCACACAAACCGTACGCCAAGCACTCGTCGCCGCTTTCTGCTCGCCGAGTCGCCGGCCGGTTCCTTCCTTCTCGGACTCGCCGCCGCTCGCTCCGCGCAGTCCGTTCTCCCCTTGCCGCGCGCGCGCGCGCGCGCATTGGCGGCGCGCATGCGCAAGCGCCACACCCCGCCGTGGTCGACATATTTAATTGGTCGGCCACCCCTGCCTTGCGTGCGCGCGACAAACACGGACGAAGGGAGAGAAAGAGTGCGCGAGTGCCTTCCCTTTCGCCCTCGCCCTCCCTGTCGTGGAATACTCCAGGAAAGTCGCGGCAACGCCGCCGCCATCGCCGCTGCAGCGGCTAGCGATGGCTTCGAGCAGGGCCGAAAGGGCATCCATATCTTCCGCTTGGAAGGGACGGTGCGCGCAGGGCCGTTTTTAGGGATGCTCATGCGGGGGTAAAAAAATGTGCTTGATAAAAACATATTCTGAGACAAAGAGTGACAGGCACTAATAAATTTTAAGTATCTCAAGCGGCACAAATTAAAAGTAACAACGTCAATTGATTGATTCGCGTTCCTTGAAATCCTTAAAAATTTTTGCATTTAAAACGAGATAAATATGTATATATTCGGGTGTTGGGAAGAAAGAAAACGAAGATACCGAGTGCAAAAAGTACAAGAACGCAAACAGACCTAATGTTAACTTCTGCACTCAACAGTGGAAATAATGTGTAAAATGTCTGATTTTTTTTTTACTTCTACATATACCTATCTCATTTTACATTCCAAAAGCATATATTGATTCGGCCAGAAACCACAGAAAACAGACCTGTAATGTAATACATGCACTGAAAAAAAAGATATAGTTCACATAACACTAAAAATATTTAGTTGTGAGCAATATAGAAACATCATCCTAGTTATCTTTATAATAGGAATGTGTATGGTTAATACGATTTATTTACTTTGATGTGTCAACTACGTCAATGTAGTTAGGCGTGATCTGGTTGACAACCAAAACTTGGTTGGGGGATCATTTACTATGGATAAGTTATATATCCGTATAGTTGCGTCAATCGTGACATTATAAAGCATGATGTATAATAATAAAAACTAAAGTATTAATAAAAATTTCTTATTACATCATACTATAAATTAAGTTGCAATTTCAAAAAGCAAAAGCGACTCACCACGCTTATAATTAAAAATACGTATATGTGAAATGCAGTCATTGCTGCAACATAGCCTAATCTAACCATTGTACTATGGTTCAAGCAACCACATAAATAGTTGCTTCATATTTTACTATTTAATCTGGTTGGCATCACCAATTTCTGTGCAGACCAACCATACTGTTTTTTCCGTGCTATAAAGAAATCAACATTTTGGATTTGTCATTGTTTACGTTATTGCCTTACATCTCTGTGATTAATACCGATTGTCTATTGTTTATATTTTACTGCCTCAGTTTTTTTTATGTGCCATAATCTTTACGTTTCGTTTCTCATGCTATTTCAGGCAACAAAAGCAATAAAAGCGCGACATATATCAAAATGCATAAAAACAATCCCTCCAAAATTACAATAAAATTCAAATCATCGAAACAGCAATGCCAAAAATATCGATTGACTGGCGTTCAGCAGACAAAGCTTGCAATTGTTGTAAAATTTTTTAATATATGATTGGTTTTGCCAATCCTAGTTAAAGTTTCTGTTAGTTTCTTATTTAATCTAAATGTATATATATATATATATAAAGCAATGATATTAAAGAATTTTATACAACAATTGTAAACCTGTACCGCATAGATTATTCCAGTAATATAGCAGCAGCATTGCAATGTTCCAACAAAGTTGCAAAAACATTGCAAATGTTGCAGTAATATTGAAGAAACATCGCAAATGTTGCAGCAATATTACTGCAAACTTCCGTGTTGTATAGGAAGTTGCTTTTTCTTAAACGCAGCCATTCTTTCCTTAAGAATGAAGGGAAGGAAAAGAAAGGAGGTACATAACAGGTAGCTTTGTCTAACAATAGGATAAAATTTACTTTACTTTTCAACAATAAATATCAAGATTCCCCGTTTCACGCATTGACTGTACGACCGGTATTCATAGTCAATTCTTGTAGTTAATTTAAGACTGTCAAGTTGTCATAGGCCAATCACAGAGCCGTATTAGCATCTTAAAAGATACTTAAAACGCTCTTAACGATTTTTGTGGAACCATTAACAAAAAATTTTTTTTAATTTTTTCGAAATTTTGACTATTTTTCCAACAAATACATTATGTACATCTGGTCTTAAATGATGTCAATAGAATTAAATAATTTCAACGGATAGCTTCAAATTTGATGTACACTACGATGTACACAGAGTCTGAAGGGTTAAATTAAGAACAAACTATGAAGTGGAATCAGTCAAACGCGGCTACGACTCAGGGTGCCGGATCTCCAATCGCGCTCCTGGGACCATCGTTCTATCGACCGAGTACGGAGGATCGTTCTCGAGTGCGTCGGACGAGCCGGAGATTCGAAAATCGGATCGGTCCCATCGCTTGCGCGTCCCGGGCCGCGCCGATGCAACGCGTGCGCGTCGACGTTTGCACGCGCGGAAACGCGGCAACGCCGCGTGTCAAGCGGCGCAACAACGAACCCCTTTTCACGGGTTACTTTTTATCCTCTCTCTCTTTCTCTCTCCCTCTCCCTCCCCCTCCCCCCCCCTCTCACACTCTCTCTCTCTCTCTCTCTCTCTGACCGATGGACTCTATTTGGAAAACTACTTGCCGGAACTTGCGTCGTCCGCGGAGCGCAAGCTCGGTCCGGTCAGCTCCGATGCTCTCTCGTTCTCTTTTTTTCATTCTCTCCTTCTATTCATCTCGGTTTCCTCCTCTTTCTTTTTCTCCGCCATCGCCCAGTTGGAGTACCGTTTCGCGAGATTGTTAAGCCTAGAGATTGAAATTGCACCCTCGTGCGCGGTGCGCCGCTTCGCCTCGGAATTATCGATAGACTGGGAGACGGTGGACGTGCGCACGATCGATAGGTGCGCGACACCCTTCCGATAGGACGTTTAAACCCTTTGCGGTCTTGCGTCGTAACGTGCCAGTCCCCCTCTGAGAATTCTCTTTTTTCGCGCGTCTTTTTTTTTCTTTTTGCTCTTTCGATATACCGGGAAAACGGCGAGTGCCATGTAATTCGCGTGGGAAAAACTTACGTTTTTCTTTTCTGAAACGTTTCGAACGGCGAGCGGCGGATCGAATATCGCGACGTTTCGTAACGAGAGGGTTAACGACCGTAAAAAAAAAGAGAGAAAAGCGGAGCGTCGCCTCTCTCGACTTTTGTCTTTGCGTCGTCGCGCCGAAAACGAAAAACCGCGAACGGTAATCCCGGCGAAAATAAAAGTTGGAATTATTAGAGAGAGAGAATTATCTTGTAAGTTGATTACGCTTCTTTTAACCCCCTATGTGATTACTGAGTCCACTGAACTTCAAAAAAAGTTTGAGGTCCTGTATCCTTAATAATAATCATATTTCTGTACTAAATAAATACTCTTTTATGCGAGAAATTCACTTTTTTTTCAAAACCTAACATTCGTTTCTCATATAAATTTTAGAACGCAAACTATTCCATTTTTTTTCTAAAAATGTTATCTCTGTACAGTATAGCTATAAATTTTTATGAAAAAGAATTAAAAATGAAAAAAGTTTTGATGTTTTGTAAAAAAACTTATTTAAAAAATTTTTCCTTTTATACAATTTTTTAAATGTTAAAATTAACTTTTACAAAGCCGCTGTATTTCTATATTTTCTACCATATTTAAATTATATTCAGTAACTTTTTTCACTTCAAAGAACGAAAACTGTGAATACACGACAACCTATTAAATGCGTTGGGGTCATTTTGCCCCAAGAGCTCACGAAGGATAAAGTTTTGTATGGACAGAGAAAAAGTTACGAAGCACATTTGAACAATTCGATTACACATTGAGTAAAAATGGTTCATTTAATTAAATTAATTTAGTTGTCTTTATTTCTTTTGTTGGAGAATGTGCATATGTATTTAAGTCAAACATATATTTGATTTAAATATATTTATATATTATACATTCTTCAATAAATAAGAATAAAGGTAACTAAATTAATTTAGTCAAATAAACAATTTTTTTTTCAGTGCACGACTAATGCGATTGATTAATTCTTTCTTCGAAGAAGAATATTCGACTGTGATTGGTCAATTCTTACAACTACAACCACTTACAACTATTCGTACGCAATTGAATAGAATGGACTTTATTCTCCCCTTACATTCGACTTACACTCTAAATTTTATTTTCACCGGGGAACTCACGCGGGATTATTTTTCACATCGCGTTTTGGGGGGTCCAGCCATCGTCGTGATGAGATGGAAGGGGATCGATACGAATGACGATTTGGGGTAACTGTGACGTCGGATAATTAACCAGTTACTCTGACAGCCTCTGGGCAACGTTACATCGAGTCGCGCACAATCGAGCCATTGTTGCGGCCAGATGCAGAATATTATGAAGGGGAGAGGGGAAGCTAGGGGGAAATGGATTTTCTCGAATAACGAAAATTCCAGATAAAACTCGCATGGCTACTGTTAAAGAGACAGTGCTGTTTTTAAGTGCATTTTCTATTAGCGCAGTTAATTTCGTCCGATCGCGAGGTTCGATATTAATTTTTAAACAGGAAAACAGACATAAAGCAAAAAATATGAAAAAAATAAAATTATTTATTGATTTTTCTATATCGATTAACAAATATTTATAGAAACTATTACCGCTCGAAGAATATTTTTTTTATGAATGAACTGATGAGTTATTTTCTGATAATTTTCCAGATAGAAAATTTCTTTCTCTAATCTTTCTTCGGCAATGACTCCCTCAACAGGTGCGATTTGGCTGGTAAATCGATAGTCGAATAGATACAGAATCGTGTATATATAATTGTTAGGAGTGATACATTCTCTAAATTTTTTATAGAAAAATCTCTTTCTACAGAATGAAAATTAAGCCGATTTTGAAAAAGAATCATTCAATCTTTAATCTCTAAGAGTGATATTTCATTCTTTGGAATGTGTGATTCACTCTAAAGGTTT